AAAGGTATTCCCCATTGAAAAGATTGTCAAGTCATGTCCTACCATAAGGGGCAGTGCTCATCTCCATTACTAAGCTGAAGAGCCAGCGCTGTCAGAGACTACTCTGTGATCATGTGGCCAGCAGGATGGCACTAAACATTGTTTACCTTCCCATTGAAGCGCTAAGTGTCTTTCTACTTGCATTTGCATGCTTTTGAACTGCTAGGTTGGCAGAATCTGGGACCAGAGACAGGAGCTCACCCCATCATGTGGCACCTGGGCCTCGAACTGCCAACCTGCCGATCTTGCAATCAGCAGAGATACTGCATCCCTGGATGGAACCAAAGTCAAAAATAGATGGGGCTATCTCTTATTGCTCATTCTCTTTCTCTCTCCCATTCACTGCCCCTCCTTCCCCATTTTTCTTATCTCTTCCAGTTCCTTTCTGTAACTTGGGGAGGAACAGATTGCTGAGGACATTTGAAATCAGTCTGAAGCCTGCACATGGCCCACCAGTTGCCAGTTGCCTATTCTTGGTGTATGTGAATGCAGTTTTGGATTGTCATAGATGTCTAACATGAAAAAGGAGAGAGTATATACTTTCTTTATCAGACAGTCCAAATTTTCTGATCTATCATCCTTATAAATCTCTGATTTTATGCCCCCCCTTTTTTTTGGTTCTTTGAGAGTACCCAACTTGAGTGATTTGCTAGCATGGCTATTCTTCAGGGTTTACTTCTTTTGCTAGAGATCCTAAGATGGGGAAGGCAAAATGGTGCACACCATATGTTGTGTGCTACAACTTCTATCAGCCTTAGCCAGTGTAGCTGATGGTGATGGATTTTGAGAATTGTAACCCAAAACATCTGGAGTGTATCATATTGCCTATTACCATATTATCTGCCCCTGCTTTAGAAGCTGAATCAGTGAATGTGATTGTATGCGTCTTATCTCTCATGCATGCACATTTACACTAGGGATGTGGAAAATATTCAAAGAAGTTCTCATTTTCAATGAGAGAAACAGGCAAGCTTATGGAGAAATCACCAGTATGAAAATGTGGGGTGCAAATTTAGTTTCCCAGGGTGTTAACCCTATTAAAGGGAAACAAAAATATGCAAGTATGAAGGTTAAGCTTGTTAGAGTTCAGCTTTCAACAGCAAAAACAGCATAAGTGTGGGTCACACTATTTATTCTTAAATTTGCCTTCCTAAAGAATAAAGACTTACTCCAAAAAATGACAAAGAGGCAGTTTGTACTTTAAAAACAAATAATAATGACTTTGATAAATAAATATATAACAAACTAAATCCTGTCCTAACTGGTGATGGTTTGGGTATAGCAGGAAGAGATTCTTAATCTCACTCAGAGGAGACTATTACTCCAACAGAGACTGAGAGGAGACAGTTACTGTACTGAGAGGATACTGTTTAAAATCCTGAGAGAAAGTCTGTTTAACAGCCTCCAAGTGTGAGTGATAGGAGTCACATGTTTAGATAGAATGAGATAGATAGAGGGAAGTCCCTGTCTGTCTAAGGAGGGAAAGGAGAATGTAATACATAAAATTTCCAACAGAGTATCTTTGCCTGCAGCATAAGTATGAGATAAAACATGTTTTTTAAAAAGTGTTCCATAACTTATTTTAAAAAATTCTTCCCCAAACGACTGTCTTTTCTCTTTGTAAAGCAAAGCTAAATAGAGACAGACGCAAACACATACAAACTACAGAAACACAGAAGGACTGGGTGATTGCTAAAAAAAAAAAAAAATGCAAATAATTAATTCAAAGTCCATGCAACATGACAGAGGATATCACAATTTGCAGGACTGGGCTATTATGCAATTGCACAATTCACACACGACTCAAATGCAGGAATGCTTGCCAAAAATGCAGGCAATATTTCACCATTTTACAGGTGAGGAGAAAAAAACAACACTCATGTGATTTCTCATTCCTCTGTGTGAGAAGGCAATGAATGATGATTTATACCCCTATTTTCTGCAGTATGCAGCTAGCTGTTCTACAATTTTCAGCCGTTGAGGTGTGGTTTGAACTGTTGATGGTCGATTGTATAGAACAATGGGTGAGCAATTTACAATCCTCCAAATGGTGTTGTACTTCAATTTCCATTAGCCTAGTCAACATAACCAGTAGTAAGAGACAGTGGGTACTGCAGTTCAACAATGACTGGAAGGCCACAATTCCCTCCCCTCTGGTGTACGGCAATTGTGTTTTTCTTAAACCAAAATGACAAACCCTCCCCGCATGGCTTTGAAACCAGTGAAGTGTAGGGCTATTGCAAAATCAGTGAAACAGCATTTATAGTTAAATTTAATGATTGTTCAATGATGTGTAACAATCAAAAGAGAGGGGCTGGTGGTATTAAGTGCCATGTTGGATTTTCATTTGCAGTTCTGGAAGATAGGACTGGAGAGGCTGCCATTTGTCTTCTCATCATTGCTAATTTTCACTGATGTTAAACTGATGGGAGCACATGATCCAAATGCAAACTAACTATAGATTTTTGAGGACAAGGAAATATTAGAACCACAAAGTTGGCTACAACTCAGCTTACTGGGAAAGTACTAGAAAGTGATGAATTCTTTGGC